TATATCTTGTTGATATAAACATAGTGATGAACGCTAGACGGTTATGTGTTGACACTGAGTGAACTATGTGCTTACTCAGCTATAGTAAAGGCTAGAGCTGCAATAATATTAGGAGACCCAGCATGTGCTGACGTTGATGATAGCATCAACCTTCCACTAAGTTGCCCTTCCAATGCTAGATACGGAGATTGAGAGCTATGGATGAATTACCATGAAAGACAACCCCATCTTTAAGAACACCAAGAAGATCCTGGGTTACGAAGCAGACAGACTGCTTATCACCACCAGTTACCTCAGTAATCAAATCAATTTGAGAGAAGCTATTCCCAACGTCCTGTTTAGACTGAGACACCAGCTCACATCACGTTACATCTTGAAACAGTGATGACAGACGCCCAGTTCTTCAACTGAAACCCAAAATGCTTTAAATCCAGAGAACCAAGAACCAAGTTCTTTGCCAAATGTACTGTACCACAATGATGCCCTCACTCTCATGCGTGACAAAGAAAATTTACATTACGGTATGAACTATGTTGTAATAGAACACATATGTGAGAGATAACAGCAACCGTTACCACTTTCACTGTTGCTTCTGTTAGGGAGATTAACAGTTACTACTTTCAATGTTGCTTTTGTTAGAGAGATTAAGTTACCACTTTCACTGTTGCTTTTGTTAGGGAGATTAACAGTTACTGCTTTCACTGTTGCTTTTGTTAGGGAGATTAACAGTTACCACTTTCACTGTTGCTTTTGTTACGGAGATTAACAGTACCACTTTTACTGTTGCTTTTGTTAGGGAGATTAGTAGTTACCACTTTCACCGTTGCTTTTGTTAGGGAGATTAACAGTAACCATTATCATTTTCACTGTTGCTTTGTTTGAGTGACTAAACTAATACCACAATAAATATGTCACACTAGTTGCACTTGTGTCCTTTTACCAAACATATTGTGGGTAATTCTACCAACATTATTACATAAACCATGTTGACGAACTCGACAAGAATCCCCACACCTCTCACCAAACTACTACCAAACAACCCCAAGTACCACGTCACCACAACTATCACAAAACTACTACCAAACAACCTCAACTACCCCACACTACCACGCCACCACAACTATCACTAAACTACTACCAAACAACCCCAACTACCCCACATTACCCCTACCCCCCAGCAACCACCACAATAACTCACCAGCTGAGCTACCATAGCACTGCACAGACACGAGAGTCGCATTTATCATTTCAATTCTAATTTCCTCTCACACCAAAAAGGAAAATTTCTGCCCATTTGCTCCCCCTATTTGTTTTGACGGAATTGGCAATCAAATTGGCTGTGTATAAGGCAGGAGTGTTCATCAGTGGCATCAGTGTGTTCAGTTTGTTCATCACTCTGTGTTCACTCGACCAAGAGCTCCTCTGATAATGTGTCGACAAACACAGAGTTATATTCGCTTGCTTTCACTAGTTCCCAGTTTGAAGCGATCTCTCTCTCTCTCTCTCTCTCTCTCTCTCTCTCTCTCTCTCTCTCTCTCTCTCTCTCTCTCTCTCTCTCTCTCTCTCTCTCTCTCTCTCTCTCTCTCTCTCTCTCTCTCTCTCTCTCTCTCTCCTCTCTCTCTCTCTCTCATGTTCTCA